ACACACACACACACTACTCGATTGGCATCCGGCAGGCTCAGTGTCTCGGAGAAACCTCGGTGAGCCTGGGCTGTGCCTGGCGATCCTGCGTGGACTGGGCCAGCAGCAGCCCCTAAGCTGGCTCTGGAGTCTTGAGAGGGCCTAGAAAAACAGGAGGCCTTAATAATTATAATAATTCCGTATACTCTTTTGGTGGGGGGTTACTTCATTATAAGTATAGCATAATATACCCCAAAGCCTTATTATATATAAATATACCCCCAAACCTTATTATAAGTATTATATAATATGCCCCAAAACCCGATTCTAAGCACTAAGGCCCCTACATTGCAGGGGCTCCCTGGCATTGGGGTTCTGGTCTTCCAAACTTGTCCGGGGCGAGGAAATCTGTGGCTTTTATAGGACTTCGGGGTGTTGCAGGGCTTACTATAGGGGCCTTAATAATTAGAATAGGGTTTGGGGAAAATTATACTATAATTAAAATAAGGAACCCCCAAAACCCTATTCTAATTATTAAGGCCCCTACATTACTTCAAGGCTGTGGGACCTGGGAGCCATTTCAAGGACCCACAGGAACTCTGCAGTCTTGTTCCTCGTCCAGCAAAGGGCCCTAAACCCCAAGCCTTGGCTTTTTTCGTAGGTTAACGGGTAACGTTGTAGACCGCCGTTCGCAGATCTGCCTGTAGGCCCCTATTCCAACAGTCCAAATCCACAGAAGCCCTCCAGAAACATAGACTTTATGAGGCCAATGCTGATATTGCGCGTGATATTGCACGGCGTCTTGCTAGACTGTTGTGCAGCAGCAGTTTGTCGAAACCGCGCTGATACGATATAGCATTCCCTTACAGCCTGCGTACATGCACTATCACTATCGAAGCATGTCAGTTTTTCCCCAGGCTGTTCTTGTTGCTATAGAGCCCAAGGCTGCAACAAGACGACCTGGTGCATCTACGGCCCAACGCCGTTCGGCCGAGTGGCAACGCTGGTGCACCAGCTGCAGACATGACTTTGAGCTGTTTGGCCGGGTCGAGTCTCATGTTGTCAAGAATGCCCTTCTTTATGGGCCTTCATCTTCGGATCCGCAGTAGGATCCATTAAAGATCCTTTCAAAGTTCAGGGCTTCAGTTCAGGCTTGAACTGGCTCCTGATCCGAGACTTCTGGGGTTCGGCGAGGAGAAAGCAGGACGCCCAATTTCCTAGGTAGTATTGAGGGGAGAGCTCTTAAAGGGGACAATGGGACCTTTCTTAACCCTACTTCCGGCTCTCTTAAAAGGGACCCGATTGAGAGATATTGAGAGGGTCTATATCCCCAAGGGTCCCCATAATCCTAGCTCCCACAATTTGAAGCACCCTAAGCCGTAGCCGGATAAGGCGCGCTTCCAGCGCTGTGTGCCCTGCTTCCAGTGGGTCTCTGAGCTGCGACAGCGAGCCTGGCAGGACAGCCATTCTAGGGCTTAGGGTCTTAGGGCCTAAGTGTGTTAAGTTTGGTGGCTTAAGGCTTCCGGGGGGGGCGGGGCTGCGGATGCTGCGTGGGGCTGGTTGCCCCCGGCCAGATATCGAGCGAGTCTGCTATGCCAGCATACAGACCGTGCCGAAAAAGCGGGCTCTCGCGACCGTCCGACTGCGTGTCCCAGTTGAAGACTTTCTAGCCGTGGTGCTGTACGATCTGGTCCGGCAGTCTTGGAGAGAAGCCGTGGTTAGGGGTGCTGGCTGGCACAGGACGGTTGATGCTGCAGAGATTGAGCTGTTTGCATCACCAGACACAATGCACAAAGTGTCGTTGTGGCGGAGTACTGCGTGGGCGCTGCTGGACTTGTGTCAGCTCTCCTCGGGAAGACCCCTGTAAATAAGTTAACATTTGGCGGAGTTGGGCGTGCCACCGCCAACGTTTACTTTGCTGAAACACAACGCGCGGATGCGCAGCCGTGTCGCCAATTGTAGGATGTGGTCGTGCGGGACAGCATTCAACTTTGGCTGCAGCCAAGTCTCAAGCACATCGGATAAAACTTCAAGCTTCTCCGCAGGGCTGTGAGGCCCAAGCCACGGGTATTTGAGAAAACGCAAACCTTAAATCCCAAGGCCTACACCTTAAACCCTGGATCCTTTCTGGCCGTTTTTGCCAGACCATGCATCATGTATCAAGCGATCCAGTTTAGGCCCGATCATCAACTTGGCCTATCACGCTAAGCTAGAAACTCGTTTTCGACATATTGTCATAAATGTCGCACACCAGGTTCCAATCGTCAAAGCCTTGATTTCAGCCGTCAGGATCACCTCAACTTGGCACCACTGCTGGCGGACATCACTCAGCAGCTGTGGCAGAACTTTTGTTGGGTATGTTTGTTTGTCGATTTCATCGACTGCTGACATCCTAACCGCAAGTGCTTCACTCATGTCTTGCCTAAACCCCAAAACGTCCTCAGCCTTGCGTAGCTGGAGATCCGATTCAGCCTGTTTGCAAGTTTTTGCAACCCTAAACCCCTATTCAAGCGCCCCCAGCTTCCCCCCAAGCGGTTTTCTCAGGCGGCCTTTGGTCGAGCTGCCGGCTGCAACGGCCTCTGCGAAAGAGGCCTTGTCACTGCGAAGTCATTCATATATACGTATATATATATATATATATATATTTGTTTTCATTTATGTATTTATTTGTATTTGTATTTATATTTATGTGTATAATTTATAATTATAGTTATAATATGCTATCATACCTAAGGCTCAACGTACCGTCATTTGGTGTTTGAGTTTGGCGAAGTTGGGAGGCGAAGCATAAGGTTTAAGTGTTTCAGGGTATTTGGGTATTTTGGGAGATGGGCATCAGTTTTTAAGTTTTTGCATCACAGCTTGCTCAAGCAATCGCAGACTTAGCTGCAGTCTGTGTATGTGTGTTGTTCCAGGTTTCCAGGTTGCCTGCAGGTGTTTGTTTGCCAGGATTTCTGAACTCATGCTACATCTTTCTGAAAGGCCGTCGAAGAACGAAACTTGGTTCTGCTCCTGCTCACAGCAGCCTGGAACTTCTGGGTTTTCATTCGTCCGTGCTTGTGAGATTGCTGCTTCTTGCACCCAGTCTTACTTACACTTCCTGCTGGTCGACAGACTGGCAGCCGTCATATTATCAGTTCGTTTGTTGTTGTCATTGTCACCAGCATGTCCAAGCAAACGAGCATTTCGGTTAATTTTCGTGTGAACGACGTAACCATAAGCAGTGACACCCACGAATTCGGACTGCTACTGTGGAAGCTTGAACGATTGGCAATACTATTCCTCTGGGCTCCTAATTATGTTTTATGATGGTGATACGGTAAAAGACCCTCCCTTTTCTCGAAGTGCCGTTTGAATTATCAAGGCCACTATGCTAAACCCCAATAGTAATCCTTGTAGAACCCTTTAACAGTATCCCCTACAAGAACCCGTTTCTAGTCTCCCCAGGCCCCTGAAGTACTCTTTGAGGTGATATGGCGGAAGCCACGGGACCAGCGTCAGCTGGCCGTGTCCTTCCTTGCGCCTGGGCCCCTGGTTCGGGAGTCTAGAGGGGGGCTTAGTCTTAGTTAGGGCCCGTGGTTTACGGTTTTGGGGTTCAGGTTTGGGGTTGAGGGATTGGGGTATCGGGTTTGGGAGGTTGGGGGATACATTTTGGTGGGGATGAACTGCGAACCCGGCCCTACAACTCGCAAGCACCGGGGCCTGAATAATTACCCATACTGCTCCTTGAGGTTCTTTATTGGAATCATACTCCACCCCAAAATCCTGTTCGAATATTTTCACGGCCCCAAAAACAAAGCCTTGCTAGTAGCCCTTACAGGGCCCTAAAAAAGGAACCCTTAGAAAGGAACTCTATGATGGGCCCCCTTAGATTACCTCGTCTTCGACTCTGAACTTGCAGGGGTTCCATGCCAGGGCGTTTAGATCTTAGGAATCAAAAATTGTCATACCCTTTAAGGCAACTTTAAGGGTTCCTTTATAAAGGGCTCTTTATAAGGGTTGTAATAAAGGTTTGGTCAAGCCAAACCTGCACGACAGCTCCCAAACGGGAGTCACGGTGCTTTTGAAAGTCGTAGGGCTCGAAGGTGTAAAAGGCAGTTTATCCGAAGGCACCTTTCACAATTCTGCGCCGGGGCGTGGATGCTTCCAATCCAGCTGAGACGACGAGTCTTGAAAGCTCTTACATCCTGACATCCAAGAGCCCGAAGCAATACAGAGGCCTTAAACTCTCGGGGGCGCCCATAAACGGAGCGTCCACGGCTAGAAAACCCTGAAACTGAATTGCACAGACTCACCAAAGCCATCCACCTTTCTCCTATGCGAATGGAGGCCGGAGAGCTCATCAAAGCAGATTTCAGTGGTTGAGGGGAATTAGGTCGAATCCTGGCCCCTGGCACCCAAAGAACCGACATCCGGAAGAGTGCCCGAGGTGTACAGCAAGACGGGGCGAAACTTCGTGAGGTTCTTCCTCTCGCAGGCCACGGACTCCCCAAGAAGCTGAAGTTCCAGCTTTTAGGCTGTTTTTTGGGTTTTCATCAGAGGAGTTTCGGGGTTTAGTGCAGGGGCCTTCGTGAGGATAGGGCTTTTTCAACGCACCATTCTGTGAGCCTGTAAAACAAGTAGCACCAAGGCCAAGGTCCCGAGTTCAAGCCATGTGCTGCTCGACATGTGGTGATGGGTTCACGCAGGGTTGCCTCACACATCGCAGGTTGCCATGCCATACCCCAACCTGCAATCCGAACTCCCGCCCTGCCACACCAATCGACCTAAAGGCACCAGAAGCCTTAAACACATTTAACCAGAAAGCTGATAAGCCTCGGAGGTTTCTGGCCCGCATCGAGGGAACCACGAGGGCTGCTGGAGCTTCACTGAACAGGGATCCATGCGCCTGCAGCTGCCCCAGCGGCTAGGACAGAATAAGATAGTTGAGAGTTTGGTTGATTTTCGGAAGAACGCCAACAACAATCGTCGTCGGCATCAGCATCGTGATCACCAACATCATCCCCATGGTCATCAGCATCGTCACCATCATCATCATCACCATCATCCTCATCATCTTCAACTTCATCGTCATGTCCATGATCAGCTTCATCTACATGTTGACCACATGTGTCTTTGTCTTCATCTTCCTCTTCTTCTTCACATTGCGCTTCTGCATGCTCGCCATGATTACTGTTATCGTTGCACGCGTTCTTCTTCTGCAATCTTACTATTCGTGTGACTACTTTGCTTTGCCGCTTCTGCTGATTAGCGAACTCTGGCAGCTCATAGGAAGTTTGTAGGGGTTCTTGGCATCAGGCATCTGGTCCCATAGCAGGCCTAGTGTAGATCTTACTTTCCGAAGTACCTGACGATTTCAACCTGTTTGAATTCCTGGCCTTGGTCTCCGAAGCCGAAACTCGAAGCTTCAGCCCCCACACAACGGCTAACTTTCGAGAAAGCCATACGCAGCCGAGGACGTCTAGGCTGCCCGTGGGTAAGCCCTATTGCTTCTTGGCTCTGATTACCCTTGGACCACTGGTTGTTGCTCCAGGCCGCTGGCCGGAGTCTGTGGAGGCGAGCAAAGACTCCTGTTTCTGGAGACATGTTTGCCCTCCCTCAGGCTTGCTTGAACGGTTGTACAACAAACCACATACGCCTGTAGCTACACTCGTTAATGCTTGAGGCCGCTGTTTTTCCGTTGCCATTCTTAGGTTGCAGTGCCGAGATGTCGAGAGCCTAGGTAAGCTGCGAAAAGTCCACATCCTGCCATGGTCGAAGCCCCACGTCATCCGCGTCTCAACACACCGAGCCGGTGCCGTGGTGGTGAGGCCAATGCCGGCAAACACACGCATGGTCCACATGTAACCTGGCAGGCTTTGGGACCTTGTCGGATTTTCTCGGCTTTGTCGGGCTCTAGGATTGCGGGCTAAGGCCACTAGGAGATAGAGTCCTGGCACTTACTGATGCTGTCAGAGAAGCGCTGTAGGGAGCCAGTTTGGAAAGAAATGCTCAAGGATGAAGTTGGGCGCGTGAGGCCCTCCAGCTCAGCTCGCTATTCCCGTGTGGCAGTGTAGGTCTAATGAGGAAGCTGACCATGGTGACCCATCGCGACCCTGCGAGCTCTCCGATGTTCCAAGCCCAGGTATCGTGATCCAGCGCGGTGGATTGCTAGCTACTATCGGTACCTGTCCGGCATCTCCTCTGTCCATTATTTTGCGGTTCGGGTGAAGCGCATGTTCCAGTTTTAGTGCCGTCCTCAGCGCTCTAATACAGGTTGCCCTGTCATGTTTTCTGACCTCGAGTCATGCGCTCTTGCAGAACGAACCCCTTAAACCTTTGCGAGCTCTGGACCCCCCGAAAAACTACACTAAATGGCCTCGATAGGACGTATCTTTCTCTCCATAAACCCCAGCACGTCTCACTAAACCCGAAACGTGGCATAACCATCCGAGGCCTTCAGAGCGTCTTTCATGAGAACCCTGCTTGGCACACCGTCCCGGGCCTGGCGTCTGCCGCAGAAATGCTGGGCTTTCCCGGCGGCTCGGTTGGGAGGGGAGGTCTGGGGGTCTTCTTAAGGCTCATCGTGACAAAGATGTGTCGTTCGCGGCGTTCTTTAGGGCCTCTAGGCTTCAAGGTTTTATCAGGCTCTGGCAATTGAGCATACTAGGCCCACTAGGCCTGTCGCACCCGGAGCCCTGGAACATGTGGTCACAGCGACAGTATACAAAACTCACTAGACACGCAACTACTACCTACGAACTGTTGCAACAAGAAGACGGGTTTAGGGTTTAGGGTGGCCGACCAAAAACGGGGCAGTTCTCCAAAGTGGGGTTCCTTTCTAGGTCCCCCAAATATAGAGCGGCCCCTACAAAATGGGTGCCTGAAAAGGGGACCCTAATTTTAGAGAACTTCCCATAGATCGAAGCCCAAGAAGAGGCCCCTTAAAAGCCGAGGCGTTCTTGAGCCGACGAGGCTCCTGGCTCCCTGCGGAGGGCTTTGCTCACTCTTTGACCTGCGCCTCGGCTTTCCTAGGGTTTTGGCGTTTAGTAGGGGTTTGGGGTTTAGGGGTTTAGGGTTTAGGGGTTATAGGGGTTTAGGGTTCAGGGGTTTAGGGGTTTAGGGTTTAGGGGTTTGGGGTTTAGGGGTTTAGGGGTTTAGGGGTTTGGGGTTTAGGGCTTTAGGGGTTTAGGGTTTCGAGATGGATACTCCAAAACTAGAGCTGTGGAGTTTGGTAGATATATATATAAGTATAATTCCATTGATTTGTGCTACTTAAACCCTACGCCCTAAACCTATAAGTACAATTCCATGCTACAGTTCCTTTTACCTTTGACGGTACTATCCAGGAACTCTAGTGACCCTAAACCTTTAAAGCCAAAATCTTGACTGAGAGGAGATCCTGGAGTTGCTTTAGGGTGTTTGAGTATTTAGGTTCTGGAAGTTAGCGATAAGGGTTGGGGTGTTGGGGTCTGCGGCTTCGTAGGTAGGTTCTCGGATTTCTGTTTGACTTAAGGCCCTAGGCCCTTAGGCTGTTTGGCCTTTGATTACGGTTTTCTCAAGCCCCGGCAGCTTGCCTGAAGATTCGCCTGTCTGGCGTCTGTCCGTACACGCCATGCCCTGCACAACACACCCGTGCCCCGAATGTCAGGGGCGAAAAAAGGAGGGGTCCTTCCTTGCATAATTGTACTATAACATGCCCCAACACGCTATTCTAATTGCCCAGGCCCCACCCCTACCCGCACGACTCCACCAGGCTGAATGCAGTGCCGCCAGACCAGGGCGTTTTGCTCCTCGACGGCAGCGGAGGTTGGAAATTGTCCGGGCAGTCTTTGTGCACATCGGGCCTAGTGCTTGCGAGGTCTGCGCCCACTACGCGGGGATCGGGGGGGATGTCGCGGTGCAGTGGTCATACTCTTACAGAGGTACTTGCACATCTGTACCTCTGCTCATAACCCCTGAGGTCGTAGTCGAGGAGTCTCGAAACCTAAACCCCAACGCGATGCGCTTGTTGAGGATAACGTCCCAGATCATTCGCGCTGAAGTGCAGCTGATGACGAAGGTGCCAGGTTTTCAGTCTGTGGTGAAGGGTTAAGGCTGGAGGATTTAGCATGTGCGCTTTGCGGCTAGGTCCTTGCCGCTCATGAGTGCAGCCCAGAGCAACCCCGCCTTACAGATGGGCTCGGGACTGGCTTTGCCGTATACAGGGCTCTTCATCCAAACACTCACATCCCTACAGCAGACGCTTTATTATACCCTAAAAAATCCAAGCCCTCTTGGCGAGGTGTTTGTGAAGACGTACCCTGATCCCCGGGTGCTGCATCTCTCTGTCGATCACTTGCACCTGTCCCTTGGACCCGAGGAGGCGTTCGTATTTTAGTTCGGGGTCTCTTGAGGTTTGGGCATGGGAGACTTCTGAGTACCGTTCAATGCGTAGTCGAATATCCATGGACCACTTCCTAGGTCCTCACCACGCCATGAAAATCCAAAGCCGTAAACCTCAACGCCCTAACAAAGCTCAGAATCCAGCGTAACTTTCCTCCACCCCCTGGGCACACAGGACACTATGCCAATCTTGCATAGTTACTTGCAAGAAACGAGTCTTGCGCCCCGAAACACCTAAATCCTAATGCCTAGACGTTGAGCCGAAAAAGCCTCTGAGCAACGAACACCTATGGGAAATGTTGAGGAATTATTACAAGACCATGCGCTGCATGCTCCGCTTCTTGCGCTGCACTGGGCACCCGGTGAGTGGCAGCTGCAATCAGACCCTCGCATGGACAGTTCAGGCTTGGTGGTTTGGACGATTATTCCTTCCCTGCCGGATGCATGGGATGATTCTGTGAGGGATCCTACACCCTAAGCCCAATTCCCAAGCCTGGCCCCCAAACCCAAAAGGATGCGATTAGCTAGATTTATGCTAACCAAATTCAGAGGTTTTTCGAGTATGCACATGGCGAAGTCACACCTTGTATAATCCGTTCCCAACACCTATAAAACCGTCTCACGAAACCTTACAGGGCTATAGGACTCTTGTAGTAGGTCCTTACAAGTAAAGCCCTAAAAAGACCCTGCAAACCCTGTAAAACCCTGCAGACCCTTGTAGAAAAACCCCTTACAACAACCCGGTATAGCCACCCTGATAGAAATCCCTCTATAGAACACCTTGTCTCGCCTGATAGTAACCAGCCGCAACAGAACCCTTGACGCAACCCTTGAAGGAACCTTTGCAGGAACCCCTATAGGAACCCTTCAAGGATCCCTTCAAGGATCCCTTAAAGGAACCCTTAAAGGAACTCTTAAAGGAACTCTGAAAGGAATCCTGAAAGGAACCCTGAAAGGGAGCCCTCAAAAGCCCTGAAAGGAACCCTTGAAGGAACCTTTTTCAAAGGAACCCCTTAGAAGGGGGCCCTAAAAGGAACCCCAGGGCTTCAGTGGGCCCAGGCTCGTCGGCACGCTGCGGAAGAGGGGCCTGGCACCCACGGACGACGGCTCGGACATCCGAGAGCACCTGCGCTACAGGCCGCCCGATTTTTGAAAACTATAGTGTTTTGTGGGGTTCAGGGTTTAGGGGTGTTCAGGGTTTAGGGCTTTGGGGTTTTGGGGTGGTTCACAGGGTTTTTGTAGGGCTTACGAGGGGCTTAGGTGATTTGTCAGGGATGAAGGGGTTGTACGGTCGGGGTATGTGGCCGAGGGTTGGGGTTTGGGGTTAAGGGTAAAGGTATGGTCTAGGGGTTTGGCGTTCAGGGTTGTCAAGGTTTCGGACGTGGGTTTAGAGCCTCACATAGCTGGACCAGGTGATGAAGCTGTTGGGCCTTGTGGCTTCGATCGCTTTCTTCCTCGATTTTGTGTGCGATTTCGTGGTGGTCCTGGGGATGTCGGGTTGTGGGCTTGTAAGAGGCTGGACCACCAGAGGAGCCGAGCAGGGACGTGTGACCAGGACAGGGCATAATAAGTTCTCTAAGGATGAATGTCGGAGTTCTTTTGGACAGAGTCCTGAAAGCATATCTTGACCTTGGGAAGTTCAAACGGGTTGCGGTGAGCCAAACAGCTTTGATATGCTTTGGACCAGTGGCCCAAGCTGAACTCAGAAATTGCAGCTGGAGGCTTCGTTTGACTAAAAACCTGTGCGACTTGTTGCGCTGAAAGCTCATCGGTTGTTGGTATGCCACACATCTAGCGAACCCCAGACAGTTCGAACATGGTTTTAGGAAGATTAGTGCTAGGATTCCCTTTACCTTAAGGGCATGAGGAGACTTGTGTTCCGGTTTTCTGGCTTCTATAAACCCCAAACCCTAAACCCTAAACCCTCAATACTGTAGCTTGAAGTTCGATGTTCAGTGCCCCCAAAGTCTACGCCTCAAGTGGGAAGGCGCCATGCCACCTTCAACAAGCACAACAACTCCCGGCTCCGGGATTCCCGGCATGAGAGAGTTTCAGCAGGGCCCGGGTTTAGGGTTTAGGGTCTAGCGTTTATAGGTTTATAGGTTTATAGGGGTTAGGGTTTAGGATCCTTCGGAGCTTAAGCCTCGACATCCAATCTGTTCGTTGCTCTTGGAGTTTTGAGGGGTCTCAGACTTGGCTGCGGGCAGGGTCAAGACTTTGAGGCCACGAGTCTTCGGGGCTTTCAGTCTGCGTCCTGCACATGTACCCTCGCCCGACTCGTCCACAGACCTCAGAAACCCCACTCAGAATGCATATGTAGCAATTTATCACAGTAGGAACTCCTTCGAACAGAACGGCAACTGGCAAAAGGAGCCATCCTCTCCAGAAGCCTAGGAAACCGGCAAAGCTGGACTCCAAACCCCTATAAACCTTTTACAGCCTTGTAAAGGCCCCCTTCTAGGACCCTTTAACTTGCACAAACCGCCACGCTTTTGGTGTAGCGCTACAAACCCCCAAAAGCACGTTGGAGCTTTCTTACCCTGGAGCCCAGGCATTGGTGAGGTCTGTCCCTGCCTGGGCCCCAGGCCTTGCGAGCTTCCAAACCCTGGCGGCACAGGCCTCCAAGAGGCGCCTGCTTCATGCCTTCGTTTAGGGTGTTATCCAGTTATACAGTTATACAGTGTTTTAATTAGTAGAGCATTTATAAAATGGTGATTAAATATCGGTTTGTAAGTTTCAGGGTGTTTATTCGTGTTTTTTTTGGTAAGGTTTTGTGTGTATTTTGCAGGTGTTGATGTTTCGATGTTTATGCAGTGGTTTTCACAAGCCGTAGAACCCTAACTCCTATGAAACCCTGAGGCCCTACACCTCAACATTGCGGAGTTTTGGTTTACGCAATCAGCTACGATCGTATTAAAAGATGTAGATGTCTATTCCTTATGGAGTTTAAGTCCAAGTACCCCTATAAGACTGTAAAGATACGTTACCCAGCTATGACAGAGTTAAGGCTAGAACTCAGGGCTCCAAAGGGGTCTCATGAAGTTATCAGCAACCTTTTCTAGGGCCAGGCCAGGGCAAGGCTCCGGATTGGGTCTTCGGGTTTTGGGCTGCACGGTTTCCGGAGCCTCCCGGCTTGTCTTGATCCGGATCGAGTTTTGTGAGCTTATGGTAAGTATTCAGGTTTCTAGGGCCGGGTGTTTCCGTTGGGTGTTCAGGGCTTTGGAACTTGCTGGGCTAGTTGCTTTTCCTCGGTCAAGTGACTAGCTGTCTACAAATCTGCGGTTTAGGGATGGACCATTTGGACCATAGCTTTGCAATGCCTTCCCTCGGCACTGACATTCACCGGCCGGCCTTCCTGACGCTGAGGAAACCTTTGTGTTAACCTGCAACCCTAAACCCTAAACCCCTAAACCCTAAACCCCTAACCCCTAAACGCCCTAAACCCTTAATAAACTCTAAACTGCCCTAAACCCTTCCAATGTATCGTTTCGCAACTTCCGGGCCAGTTGGCCAGCGCTTCGGTAGTTCAGGGCCTTTGGGAGTATGCTGGAGCTGGCACCTGACACCTCAAACACTATAGAATAGGGTTTTTGGGGACCCAATATACTATAATTATAAGTTTTATAATAAGGAAACATCCCCTAAACTTAATAGTTAGAATAGGGTTTTGGGGGCCCAGTAGACTATAACTATAATAAGGAGCCATCCCTTCAAAGACTCAAGCCCTAAACCCTAAACTTTAAACCGTCGATCCCAGAGCTTCAGGGATCGCCGAGCTTTAAGGCACGGGTTCACTGGCTAGAGCTGAGCAAGGATGCAGATACGTCCTTTAAAAAAGGGCCTTAACAATTACAATTGGGTTGTGGGGCCCATGGTACTATAATAGTAACAATAATAGTAACACTAATAATAATAATAATAAGAGTAGTAATAATAATAATCATACATAATAATAATAGTAGTAATATAATAATGATAATAAGGAACCCCCCAAAAAAATAGTATTTGTTATCATGTAGGCCCTTACATTACTAAACTTCGACCCAGAAGATTTCGTGAGGCTATGGCCCTATCCCCTAAAGCCCCTAAACCCGAAACTTCGACCCCAAGATTTCGAGTACTACCCTAAACCCTAAACTTCGAGGCAGGCCTCGCTCTTCGGTTGCCCCCAGCGGCTGCCCCCCTGAGATGAGAGGGATCCAAAGTTGGTCCCGGATCGTTTGAAAGGTTCTCCAAACATAGGCAGGTTTTTCTGAGTTTAGAGCTCAGGGACTAGGACTTATAGGGTTTAGTTATAGGGTTTAGGGCTTAGGGTTTGTGTTCTACTAGGGCATAAGGTGGTTTCGGCCGAGCTTCCTTGTACAGCGCACCGGCGCCGAACCGAGGAAAAACAGTGCCGTGTGCTTCGAGCTCTTAGCACAAAGTATCAGCATATCTCCTTCTCCCCGTTCGTCCCTGTATGTGATTGCGGAGGTGTGGCGAATACTGCGGAAGAGCACCTATATGTATGATATGGTGTGTTTGCAAGGAGATCTGAATCAACTGCGTCAATACCAGGTTCAGCAGCGATGTGCATTCGGGCCTTAAACTTAAAGTCCCGAACCCTACAATCCTCCCTGCAACAGGTGCCGGTGGTGCTGCGGCAGCAGCCGTCGGGACAAGTGGGAAGCAGCGCATGTTCGTTTTGTTGGTTTAAGGTTCCGATGCGCTTGCAGGGAGTTAGCCTCTGGGAGTTGCCTCGAGCACCCTTGGGTGAATTGGCTGATGTGTCGCATGCAAAAACATGGGCCGCGTCTTCCTGGAATTTTGCGGACTGGGCCTCGAAAGATCAACTCTCTCCCTATCACAGCCATATCGGCTTGAACACAGGTACTCAGAACTTTGGGGCGGGTTTTGTTTTTCTTCGCAGGCGGCTGCATGCCGTCCGGAAAGCGCGGTACCTGTAAAAGGGCGCTCTTGAAGTCTCGGGTCTCGGTTTTGGGTTCGTGAGGCTCCGAGAGGCTTTGAGCAAGGGCAGCAAGTCCGATTCCAGTTCCGGGCAGTGGGAAGATATTAGAATGCACGGTAAGCAACAAGACTTCTGCGCACCCTTGCTCGGAGAACGTTGCCGTACCTCGCACATCTTGGACAGGTCTCTTCTATACTAGAGTCTATACTGTTCATGGCGAAACCCTGTGCAGGAGGTGATTGGGCTTCAAGCTTGAGCTATTTGGTGTCTTGTGTGATAGGGTCTTGGTTTGCATAATTGGTTTCGGCTTGATCACGTGATCCTTACGACCCCACTCCTGATCCAGTCGAAGCACCCGTCGCGAGGAACTCGATGCAAAGTCTGCAGCAGGAGGAGGCATGCCGCATCTTGCTATTGCCAGCCACTGCCCTTAGCATGTATTTTTCAAATCTCTAAACCTAGAATTGGATTCTCGTCTAAACTACCTGAAACTTGACCTCCCAGCAGGTGCCCGTGGCTTTGCGACAACTTCACCCCGAAATCACAGCACCCCTAAAACCCACAACCCTAACTGCTAAATCCTCCTGTGGACTAAACGCGAGCACTAATCCAGCAGGCGGCCATCTCCCGTGTGATGGCTGCCCTGTCTGAGGCCGTGTCTCCAGGGTCTGAGGGGTTTCTGCAGGAGTCACGGCATGCATGTATGTATGTGGGTATGTATGTATGTATGTATGTATGTATGTATGTATGCATGTGTACACAACTACATATATGTATATAACTTCACTTGTTTCTGTCTTCTTTTTTTCTTTAATCACTTATTCATTCGTGTATTTGTTTAGATTTAGGTGCATTCAATTAAGTTACTAATTAATTCACTAATTGAATAATAATGAATTTATTCATTATGATGATACGCATATACACTCAATGGTAGATATGCGAGCGCACACACACAGGCACATTCGTCTATATGTGTCTCTCCCGCTCCCCGTGGCCAAAAGAGCTCGTCTTTAGGGCTGCAGGTCAGGATTCAGGATTCGAGCTTAGGTGCTCAACCCTTCTAACAGAGGTCACCGTTGCGTGTTCATAGTTTCGGGTCTCCCGCGGGAGCACCCCTCTGAGACGCACGAAATGTTTCCAAAGAGTTCACAGGCCTACCGGCGGCTGGCACGTCCAGAGAAGGCGGGCTCCGTGCAGACAGCTCAAGTTTCTTCGGGTCGGAAGTAGAGAGAACTGTTTAGACTCAAGCCCGCCGCAGTTCTGCACTTTTTCCGAGATCCTTGTTGAAGAAGCCGCGGCTCTACGTACCACCCTGAACCCCAAAACTCTAGAATGTAAAGACTGTAGACGCTGGAACAGAGCAACCCTTTTTGCACGTTCTATGTAAACTTTGCGTATCTTCTCAACAGACCCTGCCCAAACTTAGTACATGAGCGCACAGAATCTCCACAAGCACCCGCGGCAGTACATACGTTACATGCATGTGCATATGCATATGCATGCATGCATGCATGCATGCATACATACATACGTACATGCATACGTACATGCATACATACGTACATACATACATGCATGCATACATACATACATACATACATACATGCATGTACATACATGTACATATATACATACATACATGCATGCATACATACATGTACATACAT